TCATTGGCTCCAGTGTGTGTTCTATTGGTGTGTGTGATCCAAAGCACCACTTATTCTCTATAGAATGATTTACTATAGAGTGCTGTATGAGGGCACAGATAGTGTTGTAAAGTGCTTTGTGTATCCTGGTTGGATACAAAGGTTCTATACAAGTCCAGTCCATTTACCATTAACAGTTAAACATCCTAACATTTTTTGGGTTGGAGTTACAACACAGCTCTCAGGAAATGCTAAATGCACTTTGCAAATTCCACTGACCTTTAAGAATCATACTCTTTTTCATAAACCTGCCACTGAAGGCTAATTTGCTTCTATATTTGTCTGACAACAGCAGGTTAAATGAAATTTTAAGGACTTTTACCACTGGCTCTCCACAGCATGAGCCTTTAGCTGCATCACCTGGCTTTCAGGCCCCTGCTGTGGCCAAGTGGTCTACTTTGAGAAACCCATGGCACTGTCACTCAAAAAAGAAGTATCCTACAGCTTCCAAAAAGATCTTAGAACATTTTTCTGAAAGTGTAAGGCATGATGCGCATTGTTTGTGCAAGTGGATTCTCCAATGCTTTGTGTTGGCCTGAAGGCTCTCCCAGGGATAAACAGAAGAACAACGAATCTCATTCTCTCCTAAAACCGTGTTTGTGAACTGTGTTCGCTTTCGCAAGTGGCTACTTTAGAGCAGCTCTGTGTGCACATGTTAAATGATTTCAAAGTGTAGAAAAAAAGATGCACATGTCCAGTAAATGTCAATCACTTGCATACAAAGCACATGTTTGTGCTGTTTAGTATTAACGTGTGTGTCTGTGTGTGAGGGAGACATAAACTGCGCTGAAGGGTTTTGTGTAATCGTGCTGAGCTTTGAAGCGTGTCGAGAGGAAGGACATGTCCTCAGCACAGATCACATAGTTTACTGCAACCACAATAGGAGGAGGAGAAAGATTGTCAGACGGGGGAAGAAAGGGAAGGCAAGGAGAGAAGATGAAATGAACTGGTGATGGAGAGAGGATGACAGACAAAAGGCAAATGAGGGGGAGATTTATTGCAAAATGGGAGGTTTCTAAAGAGCCGTGTAAGGAAAAAAAAAGGGAGGCGGTAAAGACGGAGCGCTGCAGAAAGATAAAAGGGAATGTGAGGGAAGTGATGAAGGAATAACAGTGATAGAGTGCGACTGAAAGACGTGGAAGCAGAGATGAAAGAAAGAGAAGGCATGAAAAGCCCTTGGAATTGGCTTGATCCCCTATTTTTTTTTCCTTTTTATGCATCTTTTTTCCTCCCTCCATCTCTTCTACTTCCTGCAAGAGCTGCAGTTGCAGCAGGCCACATAAAATAAATAACAATCAAAAAGTCTGGTCTGCTCTAAGCGAGGCAGCCCCTCAGCTGACTGGCTAATTGCAGAGGTATCACTGTGTCAAATGACTAATAGAGTTTCCCTTTCCGTTGCTAATCTGCCAGCAGGAGCACAGCCAGGATTTGTTTACTCTATGCCCAAGCGAGGGAATACAAAGACAGACCTGCCTTTTTTATTTATTCTCAAACAGTTTCACACTGCCAGAGCGTTGGGCGTTAGATTGTGTTTGTATCTGTTGGTATACACACACAGCACATGCCATGATACATTTAATGGTTCTCAAGGCAGCAGGGGGAGTTTGCATCAAAATGTACTGTAGTTGCAATCAAACTAATTTGTCACTACGCTTTATTCTTAAATATTACATCACAAATCCAAACACCAAATTACACTGAAGTTGCACCTAAAAAAAAAAAAAGAAATCCAAAGCCTTAAATTGTGATAAACAAATAAAAGTGAGGTTTGCACTTCTTTCTCTGAACTTAAGTGAATCAGGTGACTTTTCCTTTGAGAACAGAAAGCCTAAAGAGAATCACCAAACACCACGAAATAGCTTTTTGTGCTTACATTTTTATTATACTGATGCATTTGTGTTCCTTTGAGGCTGATATTGGGTTGTATATGTGACATTTGGATTTATTTCATTTTATTTTTTTCCATCATTTTGAAACAAGATCATTCTAACTTTAGTGTTATTGCACAGGAAGATAAAGCAGACCTGGTAACAATGTTCTTTATGTGGGTGGTCAAATGCTTATCCCTATATGAAAATAAAACATAGTTCTCTTATTAAAGGCCAGCTTAATGCCAACAGAGTGAGTGAAAGGCTACAGTTTGTTTCTGAGAGGTCCAGGTAAAATAAAAAATAAAAAAAATATATAAAACACAACCTCAGTCTTGTCTGAGCTCAAAAGCAGAAAATTAAGGGTCATCCAGATTTTTATGTTTTTAAGACATGCTTGTAGTCTAAGTAACTGATTGGATTCAATGGGTTTCATGGACAAATATAACTATCATCAGCATAACAACAAAATGTATCCCATGCTGTTTAATAGCTTTACCTAATGGAAACATATGTAAGGTAAAGAGTAATGGTCCAAGCACTGAACCCTGAGGAACTCCATGACTAACTTTAGTGTAAGAAGAAGATTCATTATTATTTACAAATAGGAATATATCAGATGAATATGATTTAAGCCACTTTAGAGCCATCCATGCATTTTCTTCCGCTTGTCCGGGGTCGGGTCACGGAGGTAGTAGCTTAAGTAAGGAGGCCCAGATTTCCCGCTCCCCAGCCACTTGGGCCAGCTCCTCGGGGGGAAGCCCAAGGCGTTCCCAGACCAACCGAGAAACAGTCCCTCTAGTGTATCCTGGGTCTTCCTCTGGGTCTCCTCCCGGTTTTAGAGCCGTTTCTTTAATCCCAATATCATATCCAAGCCGAAGAACTAATCACCGAGTGAAGAAGCGAAATAAGTTTATAAAGAGGCTGAATTAACAACATGGTGTGAAACCAAATATAAAATCAAGAACAAAAAACGGGTAAAGGTCTATAGCTGTTAGAAGAAAGATTTGAAGATGTCTCATTCCAGCCCCATCACTCTCACCACATCATCCCCATATGTTTCTCTCCTCTCTTTCTATTTTCAGCTTGTAGTGAAGAATATTCATTTTCACTGGTCACAGCACAGTCGAGGGGAAAAAAAATGACAGTTCACCTTTTTCCTGTGTTTTTCCTTCTTTTGCTCTTCCTTCACCCCATATTTTGCTCAAGGGTTTGTCCAATTTGGGTGTCATGTCTCTCAGTGACTGCACACTGAAACTAGTAGAGTTAGCCTAAAGCCCCGGCTACTAATGAGACGTTGAGGAGGACAGACTCACCGCTGACACTATTTAAAGAGCATAGAGATTTGCTTCTGAAGGGAGTAACTCTGCTCCATTACCTTCCTCTTCCCTCTCCATGGGAGTTTTTATTTTTTTTATTTTTTTTCTCCAAACCATTCTGTTCTTCGATTCTCATCTGTTCCTGTATAAACGTGTTCATTAACTATTGGAGTCAGTTGTCTGTTTGCAAAATATCTCAGAAGTTACAGAACAACTCTTATTAAAACTCTATTAAAATAACCATCCAACTTGATTAACTTGTGGAATCAAACCAATTCAAGATGGCCAACATAGCCAACTGAACTTAAGGAATGCAAAATTGGTTAAAACTCAATCACATGTGTTGATATTAAGCTAAAACTTGGTTTGTTGGTAGCTGATTTTTTAAGCTTTGCAATACTTTACTTAAAACTTGAGCGTCTGTGTTAAGCTCTGAGCATAACATCACTTACAAGTTTGCCCAAAACATCTATTATTCGGTACCATCTCATCATACGATGACCTGAATTTAAATTTCAGACATAACTGCAGCAAATGATTGACATTCCTTCAATGAATACCAGGTCTTTGATTAAATTTGAAGCATTAGAACTCACATTTTTATCCTCAGATTTGTGTTAATCTTATTTGAAAGTAACAGATTTAACCCAAATACTTGAATCATCCTAAAAGGTCTGCAAAGGACAAGAATTTCTATAAGGAGGGGGTGTCCTCGTGTATGATATAGATGAGTGAGGTCAGATGTGTGTGTGTAAAGGTGAAAAAGAGAGTGATAAGAGTGCTGAGAAGGTCAAATAAATGCCAGCTCTCAAGACGGCGCTAAAGAGCAAGTTTGTTGGTCACATAATGATGAGACACTCAACCTTGGAGCACCCGGACACAACTCAGTCCTTTCCCGTTTCAAAAATCTTTTTCCACTCCCGTGAGTGTGTGCAGTTTCTCAAGATTTGCTTTAAAGGCCCACGCTGTTTGGAAGAGGAGACCCATCGGTTTATGTTCAACTGTTAATCACGTGGTCACATATTGATTTCACGGCTGTGAGTTATCGCTCGATTCCTAAAGAATGGGTTTATGGGTTGGTTTTTTTTTTTTACACGGGAGGGTTTAAATCTGCATAAAACTTGGTCTTAATGACTGATGGGATGTACCCCCTTCACATAGTCTGTCACACTGTTTTAACAGCCAGAGAGGCCCCTAGACTCGTATTACCATCTTTATGTATCGTCAATCCATCACAGCGTGGAGGGACGGGGACAGCTAGCGTGCCTGTGCAGGCTGCTTACATCCTCGAACTAACTCCCATTTGAGTTTTAAAATAACTCCAAAGGGATTTATGGAAGCACTTTCCACAAATAACATTTTGGGTAATGTCATCATCTTTATTGTCTTGTGACAACAGGCTGATGAGTCATGCAAGCGATAAAACAAACGTTTTATTGCACTTCACTTTGCTGGAGAAATCTTCTGGAACTTTTATCTTTATGATGATGATATTGCTCCAATGATAATTAACAAACGCTTTTTTTTTTTTTTTAACAGCGCAACTTTGAAAAATCCCATTAAATTGTCAATATGCTGCAGAAATTTCAACACATCTGGTGGTAGATTACGCTCTCATATTCAAACCGTATTTTAAACATGTTTTCCTCTTTAAATCCTCTTTCTGTCTACGTATATGATTTTTTTTTCTTAACATCTCTGTCTGTTGCCTCTTCCGTCCTTTCTTGTGCTTGTCTTCCTCTCCTTCTTTTCCCTCTTTTGCGCTCCTCTGTAGACCTGATCTTGCGTGTTCATAACCAGGTCCATGACCTTAGTTATGTCCTTTGTCCCTACTTTCCTATCCTAGCACCTTCCTCCCCTGGTGTCGACTCCACCCCTTTGCAGCGCACAGGAAGTCATGGGACAGGAACAGGAAGCTACGGCCGTGGTGGGACCAATAACTATGCCACAGTGGGGCCGGGATACACTTCAAGTGGAAGTGGGGATGTATATGGGTCGGACCCTTATGTGGTGGACCCGTACCGCACCCTGCAGTACTGCCCTTCAGTGGTGGAATCTCCTTACAGCAAGTCTGGACCAGCCCTGCCTCCTGAAGGGACCCTGCAGCGTTCACCTTCCATCGACTCGATTCAAAAGGACCCAAGGTAGGAAAAATATATTGATTCTGATTATATGACGTGTGCATCTACATGTGTATTTTTTATTATTTAAGACATTTATTGGGCCACAGCATGCTAAACTTACTGAGTGCAAAATGTTTTTGTGTGAAAATCTGTACAAAGCTTTTGAAATTCACATCAGGATAATGGAGAAATACATCCCGGTGACTTTTTACATCGATGATTGACTGCCATCCCTCTGTACGTGCTAGTAGGGGTCTTTAACCACTGGACCAAGAACTAGTACTGGTCCATGTATCATTTGGTATTGGGCTGTATATAATCTTTAAATATATACATTGGTCTGTGAGGTATATCACTTAGAAAAATGACAATTTCTTGTGTTTTCTATTTTCTGCATTTGACTCGGTCACAGTGATTTTTCAAGTACTGGTAAACCACCAAGCTAAAAATCACTTAACAAACTCGGTTCATGGTTAGTTCATGCAAAAAAAGTGTTTTGTATAAAACTGGTCTGTGATGCTAAATAGATTGGGGACGCTGGTTCATTGAGAAAACATTGACCAAACCATTTGACGCATGTGAATCATTTGCTTTTTTTATTAGTTTAGTTTCAAACATGATTAAAAACAAAAATCTAAATAAAGTAACGTAAAAAAAGAAAAAAACAAAACAAAATGAAACGTATTTGAGAAAGGAGTGGGAAGAAATACAAACTTGTTTAATCCCACGCTTCTCTAAAACTTACTAATGATAAGTTATTCTGTTTCGTTACACAGTTCAATAATGACTTGGACAATAATAAACTTACTTACTTACTTTATATAAATAACAATTATTAAAAAAGATAATTGAGTTATTTATTTTACAGACACAAATGTTATTTTTGTTGTGTTTAACCTGTCGAAGCTTGCAGACTGGCAGATAGATTTTTGGTCTTGCACATGCATATTCTGTGGATCTTGCAAACATTCAAGAACGCGTACACTAAATATGGATCTTGTGGTTTTTCTGTTTGAACCAAGTCATCAGCAAGACTAGAACTGACTTATTGTCTGCAAGGACTATAAGATGCATGAGTGACATGGTCATTGTTTGACTCACTTGCCTCAAAAGTACCACACACTTTACGCTTGCTATTTGTGTGAAGAATACCTGACTTTTACCCCACAGTGTGGTGAGTTTGCGGCACACATAACTTGAACAAAACATAACGAGCAAGACTCATTATAAACTCTGTATTATTAAGGAACTGTAGCACATGCAGTAGCATTGAAGGCAAGAAGATGGGTGTCAACATTTTGCCATGACTGAAGGTGTCGGGTCTCTATAGGCAGACAGAAGCTGGGGAACTGGCTTTGATAATACAGGTAAACATCCTGTGGGCTTTTTATATACCCACTGCTCACACTGCATCGCACTTAGATGTGTCACACGTATGTTTTCCACAAGCTAACAGCACAATTTCTTTCACACCTCGAGCAAGTAAAGCATGCAACCTGCACATGACTAGAACTTTGTTCAGACGATTTGTCAAACTTTCCTTTAATGTTCGCCAAGTACCTGCAGCCCAGCTGTGTGCCATCAATTCCTGTGACCCATGCATATCCCCGCATAGTGGGTTTTGAGTGTCGCTTTAAAAAAAATGCAATTTGTGTGTGCTGCTGTTGCGATATACGAACACACATTTCACCAATATATACTGTTAAACATAGTTACTCACTGCTGCATCATGGGAATTAACCTGCACAGTAATGTGCTGGATCAGCTGTGCGAGCTTGCAAAAGTGAGCCAGGCTGGATTTCCTTTATGTGAACATGCACTTACTGCTGGACAAGCTGCCACAGCACAGTTATAGTTAATAAAGATGGAATACAGAATGTGCTCACAAGGAAGGTCGGCTGTACGTTCAAAACTTGCTCTCCAAACGGCTTCAAGGTTCAGAATATTTTTTTTAATTTAATCTTTAAACTCATAATTACAGCTATTCACATCACCAAGCAATCATCACTTTCTTTCAAGGCTGTATCTAAGGTGGTAAAGTACAAATGTAAAATAGAAAACTTGGCAGATACCATAAACATGGCCAAGTATTGAGAAAATAAAAGCATGCTTTTGGACATAAAGGCTTATAGGCAGGGAGGTAAAAGAAATGCTGAAAGTAACGGTGATTTATCGTTTGCTTTAGTGTCAAATACAGTGTTTATCATGTCCATGAAGACAGAACAACTAATAAAACCTTGTCACTCAGTTCAGTCAGGTCTTTTAGGAGCTCTCTTTAATGTTCCTATTGTCATGCTGTGTTTTAAAGACCCCTTCCAGGCTACGATCACTTTCATCCTCCTGTCTCCTCAATTAAGTACAGCTCAATCTCTCCTCCTTGCTTCTGTGTGCATACATATACATATATTCAGTGGACTCTTGAAGTATAATTCCTTTAATTATGGAGAGGGAGACTGAGACGTGCAGTTCAAGCTATAGCAGCAGCTATCAATCATCGAAAGAAAGAAAAATGTATGAAAAATATGAAAGAAGGTGGAGAATAATAATTAAAAAGGATAGTAATAAAGGAGGAAGAGTGGATTGATATGCATTTACATACAAAATGGATTGGTGGCTGTCTTTTAAACATGCATTTTAAGATTTTATTTTTCATAAATAGGAAAATATCAGTTGCTGAATGCTGGCTATATTTAGTAATAGTTCAAATAAAATATATTTACCAAAATAAAAGCACATATTTAATAGCTTTTTTCTTGATCTAAAAGATACCCAGACCTGTGCAGAGCAGCCAACCTCAAAGTGGAATTATGACTCTGTTAAATCAAAAATGAACTCATGACAAAATTACTTTTAACCAGAGTTAATTACTTTAAGTTCTAATCTTTAAATAAAAAATGTAAGCTTCAGAAAATTACATTGTTGGTGAATCTTCCAGTTACAGTTTAAAGCTTTCACAATCTTTGTAAATCTTAACATTTTTAGTTTTGTAACAGATGTATTTTGAAACTTCAATGCATTAGTTTTTCATATTAATTGAAGTTTAATTAGAATATTTAAACATATTTGCAAGCAAATTTGTTTTTTTAGGTTACTGGAAAGTTTCAGATTTCCAAAAATTATTATTAAAAAAAAAGAACTTGACTTCTGAAGATGTTTTGCTTCCCATCCCAGAGGCTTTATCAATTATTTTTTATATATATATACATTTTCATAATTTTTTTTTATTGATAAAGCCTCTCAGATGGGAAGTGAAACATCTTCAGCTTGAGAATAGAACTCCAGTTGTTTTGGTTTTTAAACCATTTTTTGGGGGTTTATCATGGCCTGGATGACTAAGAATCTTCACCAGCAATTATTAGACATTTCTGTTGTTTTGTTTTTTGCATTATTAATATCTTATTTTGCATGATGCAATAAAAACAACTTTGTCACAATAATTGTGCACACTGTTCACATTTGGACAAAGAAGCTTAGTAAAAATAACAGACATCCTGAAAGGAAACATTTTTGGATTCCGATTCCTTGGAAACTCTCTAAACATATAAATTCCTTAAAGTTTGAATACATTTTTAAAGGTGTAACAAAGTTTTGTATAATTCATCCTTTTTCATTTTTTTTCTATGATTTCTGCTGCAAAGGTCATGCCAAAACCTTCAGGTTGCACCATGCGAGTGCACACATTGTGGTGCTGTGAAGTGTTCGGTGTCATGTTCTGTTGCAGAAGACGTGAGCTTCCAAAAGTGTCTGCATTTTAAATGAATCTACCTTCTGCCATCCAGGGACAAGTTCCTCCTGCCACCTGCTGTAGCACAAACTCCAAGCACAACTGATCCGCCTCCATGCGTGACAGGAGACAGGGTGTTCTTTCATGAAATTCAGCTCCCGTTGATTCCACACTTACCTTTTGATTATCGTTGTAGCTCAAAGTTTGGTTTTGGTTTAATTATGATGATTGCGACGAAGAAACATTCGTTGGGCTCTTTTTTGAGCAGGTGCTCAGAAGAACAGGGCGTCATCGTTCCAGATTTGAGATTTCTTCAGTTTTCTTTTGTAAAAGAAGTTTTCTTGATAGTTTAACTTTTCCCCCACTGCTTCTTTAACTGCTTTAGAACTGACTCATGAAGTATAAAAAGCATCTCCTACTTTTGTAGATGTCAATTATTTTATTCTAGGAGTTCTGGCTTCTACTCTGGAGTTTGTAGCTGTTGGTTGTTAGAAGATTTAAGGAATAAAAGTATATTAAACAGTGTACAGTTATTATTGACCATCATACAAAGCAAAGTTTAGCAATTAAGGTTTTGCAAGTGAGTCTTTGGTGTAAGTTTGTGTTTGTTACAAATAGGCCTGTCGCGATAAACAATAAATCAATTAATCGCATAATAAATGAAAATTATCGACCTCATTTTCATTTATCAGCTTTATTGTTTCTTTGTGTCTCTCTTTCTACTGAAGACACTGGATGACAAAAAGTTCAACTCCGGTGCTCTTCACTGACCCGTCCCTTTCTATTTTCTCTTTAAAATCCATTTTAGTCATCCAAATTTTCATTTTTGGATCGTTAAAACCAGCTAAGCTACGAACTAAGCTAACAGGCTGACCTCGAGAGGAAAAAACCTCTGTCTTGTTGAAACTCCAAAATTCATGGTTGAAACCTGTTCCTTTGTTTAAAAAGTTGTTTTTCTTTGCAAAAAGAAGCTGAGATTTTGTTATGTTTTTTTATTCAAAGCTTTGTGTGAAAATGCTAAAGAGCTACCGAGCATCTGCCATTTTGAGAACTTAAAAGAGACAGCCCATGTCACGTCAAGGGGCCTCCCTCCCATTTTTCTTAAAGTGACATGCTGCTCTCTCCCTCACTATCCATCCTTCGGTTCAAACCGTCTTAAGCTGCCATCCAGTGGTCAAAAAAAGGTACTACATGCAAAACAGACTAACAAAAATCTCTTCTTAAATTTGACGATAATTACTAATTATTTTCAAATTTCAAACAATATTATTGTTTATCGCAATAATTTCTGAGACAA